ATTAAGTAACATGTCCTAGATTATAGAGCTAGTAAGAGGTGGAAGGAAATTCAAATCCAGTTAGTTTGGCTCTAAAATCCATTCTCTTAAAGAATATGCTACACGATTTAGTCAGGTAAGCAGTCAGTTCACATGATCTTTTCATGCTCCTTAAAGCCATACTTAACAAAAACTTAAGAGGCCTCATGAATGAGAAATTTCAAACAGATATTCATTAATTTAAGATTTCAACAGAATTCAATAAATAACTCATAGAACTATCTTTATGGATACACTCAAAGTATGCACCAATTGACCAGCTTAAAAAAAGAGAAATGAAATTATTTTAAAAATCATGTAAACTATCAACAAAATTTTACTTAGTACACAGTAATTGATTATTCATGAATGACTGCCCATATAAAAATAATGATTAATAAGTTAATCCAATTTAAGACAACAAAACCTTATCTGTGCTTATGACTCTTTGTAGCATTCTTTTCATGTGCTTATTGGCCATTTATATATCATAATTGGAGAAAGGTCTATTCAAGTCCTTTGCCCATTTTCTAATTGGGGTGTTTTGTTGTTGAGTTGTGGGAGCTGATCATGTATTCTAGACATTAATCTCTTCTCAGATATATGATCTGCAAATATTTCCATCCACTCTGTAGCTTGTCTTTCCACTTTCTTGATGGTGTCCTTTGATACATAACAGTTCATAATTTTGATGAAGTCCAATTTATTTTTTCTTTTATTACCCATGTTTTTGGTGTCATATTCACAAAGGAGCTGCCAAAGTTAATGTCATGAAGATTTCTCCAGTGTTTTCTTCTAGAGTTTTATAGTTTTAGCTCTTAAGTTTAGGTCTTTAACCCATTTTGAGTCAATTTTTTATATGGCATAAGGTAAATGATATATTTTGGATATTTATCCCCTCCAAATGTCATGTTGAAATTTGATCCCCAGTGTTGGATGTGGGACCTGATAGGAGGTATTTGGGTCATTGGAGCAGGTCCCTCATGAATGGCTTGATGCCATCCTCACGGTAATGAGTGAGTTTTCAGTCTATTAGTTCCTGAGAAACCTTATTGTTTCATTTTGTTTTTTAAAAAAAGCCTAACATCTCCCTCCCTTCTCTCTTCCTTCCTTTCTCACATGTGATATGCTGGCTTCCCTTCACCTTCTGCCATGAGTACAAGTAACCCTCACCAGAAGGGTTACTGCCATGAGTACAAGTAACCCTCACCAGAAGCAGCTGCTGGCACCATGCTTCTTGTACATCTGTAGAACTGTAAGCCAAATAAAACTCTCTTGTTTATATATTACCCAGGCTCCGATATTCCTTTATAGCAAAGAAATTAAGGGTCTAAGAAATTAAGGGTCCAACTTCATTCTTTTACAGTTTTCCTAGCACTATTTGCTGAAAAAACTGTCCTATTGACCCTTTGACTGGTCTTGGCACTCCTGTCAAAAATCAGTTGACCACATATGTGAGAGTTTATTTCCGGGCTCTATTCTATTCCATTAGTCTATATGTCTGTCCTTATACCAATAGTATAGTGTTTTAATTACTACCTTTGCAGTGAGTTTCAAAGTTGGAAACTGAGTCCTCCAACTTTATCCTTATTTTCCAAGATTGTTTTAGCCTTTGGGACTCTTTGCCACTCCATATGAGTATTGGCTTTTTCATTTCTATAAAAAATGCTATTGGAATTTTGATAGAGATTGAATTGGACCTGGGTATTGCTTTGGGTAGTACTGACATCTTAACAATGTTAAGTCTTCCTGTCCATGAATATATAATGACTTTATATTTATTTAAGTCTTTAATTTTTTTTCACCAATGTTTTATAATTTTAGGTGTACAAGTCTTTCACTTCCTAGGTTAGATTTGTTCCAAAGTATTTAATTATTTGTAAATAGAAT